TTTAATTAACTTGCACTGAACCCGACTTGATCTGAAATTGACCCAAACCCGTTTTAACCCGTCAAAACCCAACTTATTACTAACTTGACCTGAATTCAACCCGACCCGTTCCTAACCCGACCCGAATTTAACCTAACCTGTTACAAACCCAACCCGACTTGTTATTGACCTAACCCAAATTAAACCCGACTTGTTATTGACCCGATCCAAATTTTATTAGACTTATTACTTACCCGACCCAAAATTTCAACCCGATCTGTTACTAACTTGACTCGAAATTAACACGAATTGTTATTGACCCGACCTAAATTCAACCCAAATTGTTCCTGACCCGATTTCAAATCACCTTAAATGCAATTTAGACCACCTTATTATTGTTGATCAAAGCATTTTGTCTAGGGAGACCAAGTCGGTCCACGCCAGCAAAAGAAAGAAGCATCATCCTCAAATTTAAGAGTTAAATATAATATATATTTGTTGTATGGTCAAAGGAGATAATTATCTTCCTGAATTATAGACTATAGCTCCCTAGTATACTGTCATATATATTAAAGTCAAAGGAAATAATTAGCTTGATAAAAATGATAATTATCTATTTATAGTTAGTTGAACCCGAATATGACCTGACTTGGCCTGGAAATGACCTGACCTGATTGTAACCTGTAAATTATTGACTTGAACATAACCCGACTTGAATTCGAGAATGACCTGACTTGGAAATGACCCAACCTGATTATAACCCGCAAATTATTGACTTGAACCGAACTCGACTTGAACCCGAGAATGACCTGACCTGATTATAACCCGAAAATTGTTGACTTGAACCGAACCCGAACCAAACCCGAGAATGACCCGACCTGATTCTAACCAGAAAATTATTGATTTGAACCGAACCCGACTTGAACTCGAGAATTACCCTAACCCGTTTTAACCAGTGAAAACCCGAATTAAACTCGACCTATTGTTCACCCAACCCGAATGTAACCCGATCTGTTATTAACCTGACCTAAACCCGACCCAAACCCGATAAGAAGTATGACCCGACATAACCCGACTTAAGCATGACCCAACCCAAACCCGACCCGCATAGGTTATGGAATTAATCCGAATTGAACTGACCCGACCCAAACCCGATCCGTTTTACCGGAATTAATAGCTCTACAAATGTACATGAGCTAATCTCTGCTAATGTACAAATTACCTTCATTTTTTTTTTCTTTCTTTACTTCATACATAGACTCTCTATGATTGCCAATTTATAACTTAGGGATTTTAATATTCCCTCTAATCCCGAAAAATCGAATAGGAGATTCTAGTAATTATTCCCGCTATCTCTATTTGTTTGCCTTTTTTAAGGGCGCTCTCCAAAGATTGTCACATACCAAAAATGTCTATACAGGTAAAAACTTTACCCTTACAAAATTTATTAGTTTCATCACTTTTCTCCCTCATTAATTGCACTCAATAAAAATGTCTATAATATGGGGCAAATAACTAGAGACGGAGGTACAGAGTAGTAATTAGTTGGATCGAATGTCTTAACTACCATAAAAATAAAGTTAAGTGAGGAAAATACACCTAAATGACATTACATGCACTCATTTCCAATGTCTAAGAAGCATAATTGCTGATGTTACCGCATAACTAAAAATTCACATGATTTCATATCTTTTCATTTTCAACCACCATTATCATCATTTCATGCATTGCTATCATTATTATTCATTTTTCACTAGGTTCCACGAAGAAGGGTATATTTCACAATCACTAATCCTTTTAATTGAAATGGTACGGTGCAATGTTTGGTGCTTTTAAAGTTTATTGGCTGGTTTATTGGTTTAATTTAGAGTAATGTATCAGGACTCGATAGTTATGGGGTACCGGTGCATGATGGACGTATGTACAGTGGCGGATCCAGGAATCTGAAATAGGGGTAGCACTAGACAATAATAATAATAATAATAATAATAATAATAATAATAAAGTATAACATTGTTGTAACGTATCATAATATATAATCAGCCAAACATGGATATAATGCGTTATGTAGTCGTATAATAATTAACAATCAAATTTAGACATTTATATTGACAAGTTCAATTATATTGTGTCTCGTCAAAAAAAAAAAAGTTCAATTATATTGTGGATATCGATTATAATATTATAAACTTTCTACCTGTTTATTTTTTATTTTGTCAAAGTTACATATGAATTTATAACGAAAACTTTGGTATAAATTTTTCCTTGTGCACATATGCTAACGTAAAACTTTGAATGAAAATATCTTTAATAATTAATCTTATAATAATTGAATATTAAAGTAATAAATTTGACGATTCCAACAAGTACCCACATGAATTTATTTATTGTTATGTATAAATCACAAAATATTAGCTAAACTGAATTAGATAAATTATATAAAAAGTCAAAAAGTTTCATTTATTTAAACACAGTTGGAGTATGATTTTTTATATTTATTTCAGTGTAAATTTTCATACGATTATAAATAACATTTAATAATGGCCAAATAAATGCAATAAATATTATGTAATGAAAATGAGAAGAATATAACAGAGAGAGTATTTCATATTAACAAAGACTGTTTATAAAAAGTGTGAAAATGAAAAAAAAAATTATAAATGAAAATTCAATTGGGTTTAAAGCAAAAAAAAATGATGCTATGGGGTCTCGAACCCTGAACTTCTTAAACAAATATTGTTCACTCATCCAACTCCCTAACCACTGAAGCAATGCTAGAGTCATTTAACATTATTACAAATTATAATATATATACAGATATAAGGGACGCTTTTCCAGTTTTTTTTTTTCCTTCGTGGGGGTAGCACGTGCCCCCCGGGCGTCAACGTGGATCCGCCACTGCGTATGTATGTATGCTATTATGTTGATTGCAATGGTATTTGTTTTACTCCATGTCTCTGTTCCACCTAATAATATGATCACCATCGAGTCAAGGTCCTTAAAGATGTCGTGTTTATAAATTACGAAGTACTCCATTTGTCCCTTAAAGATTGTTTTATTTGACTTTTTACAGCCTCTAAGAATGTTTTACAAGACAAAACTCTCTAACTCCTGGTCATATGTATTTAAAAGTTTGAAATTCTAAAAGTAGGCACTGAAATGAATTTAATAAGCTAAGGTCCACATGATTATATAATGACTTATTATAATTGAGAAGATTCAAGATCAAAACTTTTAAAGTTTTGACCCATAAAATACAATGGGATAATATTTTAAGGATGAAATGAGTATTCCGTGTTATTTCAATTACAATTACAATTACAATTACAGTATACTTCATTATCTTCTAAAGTTCTAGTATATCTATAGACATAGGTTGACTCACTAATCACTAATTCACTATACATATAGTCTATAGATCGAGATAAGATGATATTGCACCAAGTTACGGCTAAAACATTACTTTACCAAAGGGTGGGTGGCAAGGCTGATTGCCTTATTGGCATGCATGTTATAAAAGCACAACCTTTTATTTTTATTTTTTTCCATTTGTTTGAATACAAACTTTAAATGCAAGTGAAGAATATGGAGAAAAAAAAAAAAAAAAAAAAAAAAAAAATCTTTGTTCCACAAATCACGCATGTATTAGAGGGTTATCTCGCGCTTTTAGAGGTCCCCTATTTACTGTGCTTTTGCTCCGGCCCCCATCATTTAAACTCAATAAAGATAATGTTACGCAACTAACCTTTAGTCCTTTATTACCCTTTCTAAAACTAAAGGAAAAATATTGCCTTTGCAAAAAATGTGTATTCTTTAGCTTGTCTTCAATTGGAGATGCTTCAAGGTGATTTATGGTTCAACAAGAGGAGGAGAACCTCCATCCGGATGCTACTTATGAGTTCTAGTAAACCAGTGTAAATAAGATACTCGTATCTCTTGAGTACACCCCCTAGGTATGTTCGCGTACAAGATTAGTGCTGCATATAAAAAGCTAAAAGTGAAAAGAATAGACAATAAATAAACATTTATTACACCGATTTACTTGTAAATTGTCGATAAATTTTCAACTTAATACTAAAAAAAGGAAGGATTTAAATGCTTAAGGGCCGCATGCATTACCGAAAAACAAAATTAGAATGATTTTTTATTTTTTTTCCTAGAATGAGCTTTAAAATTAAAAACTTTAAGTCACACACCATTTTATCTTTCTTTTGGGGAAGTTCAACTTGCATTCTTTTTGAATTTTGATTGTCTTTTATTTTGGCATAAAATGTAGCATATAATTAAAGGTATTTCTATCTCCACCTACGTACATTTTGATTCTCCCTAATTGTTCAAACTATGAGTACGTATTAGCAATTATTAAATATAATACTTAAAAAGTAAAGTACTTTTTTGAAATTCAGTATATCTTGATATAATGTTTTTTTTAGGGCAATATAATGTTAATCTCTTCAAGCATAATGTTAATCTACTTTAGTTTTAGTACTATTAATCTATTATCTTGCTCTGATCTTAAATTTCTCAATTTGAGTAAGACTGCACCTTTGATTAATTATCTGTTGAACATAATGAGTACTCCTAATACAAAGTAGGAAGTAATTATTTATAACTAATAAGGATTAAGGAGAGATCGAGCTACTTATTAATTGACCCAGTCAACTTAATTAATTAAATGCAGAAGATTTGCACATAATCCCCCCCTCTCCCCTTGGAGGGTTAGACCAATAAACGTAAAGTTATACACCCAAATGTAACACAAATGGTACTCCGTATCAAATTAGATTAATTAGCGGTGTGATTGTAGGCATTAAATGTGTACGCCACCAAAATAGGAGTCCATGCTCCCAAAATACCCACTTTGATAGTTCCATACCATTCCATAACATAACAAATTTCTTTGTTTAAACACAAAGGAGGTTGAAAGTGGGTCAGTGGGGACCCGACCCATTTAACGCAAAAAATCACCTTTCGCTAACAATCATGATGACCACACACACATCAATATAATTCATAATTCCCCTTTTATTTCCCCTACAATCACTCTCTCTTCATTCATTTGATCATCTCTAGTACAAACTTTACTACGTGTAAACTCTCTTTAAATTCCCACCATTTTTTACATCTTTTTTTGCTAAATCATTCTCTCAAATTTACTCTAGGAAAATATTTTTGTTTTGGAGGTTAAAATGGTGGTAAATGCAGTAGACTCAGCAACACAAACGTTGGATTACGAATCTGACCAAGAGTCGTACACGCTGCATGACCTAGGAGGGTCGAGTCCACGGGTTGTGGTGGATACATCCCCGCCTTTCATGTCCGTTGAAGAAGCCGTAATTCGGTTCGGGGGTCGTGGGTTTTGGATCCCCCAACCTTTACTTGCCGTTGATGCTGCTAATGCTACAACTGATGACAATTCTGTAAGTTTGCTTTTTATCATTAGATCAAGTTACACTTTTAACGTGACTATTATTTTATTTTTATGTTTCTTACTCGATCTAAATTTTACTGAACTTTTACCATACGTACCACATTACCAATAGGCAATAGCTAGCTGCGCTACTTAGCTATTTGTTTATGTTCTTTTTTTTGTCCTCTTTTTTTTTTTTAATTTTTTTTTATATCTAATTAAGTAGATTTATTATTTTTACTTGCTAATTACACCCCTTAATTAGTTAATTATAATGTTTGTGATGAAATCAAGAGAAATTTTAAATAGTAGTTAGAAGTAAGATCTGAGCTCTAAATCTCTAATAATTTATGTTGTTGAAAGTCAATGTGGACAGATATTTTGGACTGGGGATATTATCTTTTGTCCTTATCCTAGTTTGGTACGGAGTATATTCTAAAATCTTGACAGTTTCTACTATTACATCTCTATAGTTTTTGGAAGCAAGAAAACACTCTATAGTTAAATTGCATTTAAGTTGATATTTTTTACTATTTTTATACATTTTGATTAGTTGTTGGGTGAAGATTTTGCTAAGGCAATATTTATGATGTCAAGACAAATATAAAGGACCAATCTAGTTGTATTGATCCGAATTTTTTTTTTTTTAATTTTTTTTAAGGTAATCCCAAGACTTTTTTCGGTAATTTACGACACATTCATGATGACCTTAAAACCTTGATAAGAATTTATATATTTATCTAGGAATAAGGTGCACCTTTTCGCATAAAAAAGCTCTAATGCTTATTTATTCAAAAAAAAAAAAAAAAAGCTCTAATGCTTATAGTAGAGTATGTGAGTAGGAAAATACATAACGTGAGAAAGTGTATGTACATATAAATGTACCTAGATGCATTATATAGATGATATAAAACCTTGCTATGATGAGCATGTACAAAAAAAACTCTGATTAAAAATGATATGTTCAATCGTATTTTAATTATTTAAGTGAACTTTTAATTAAGGGATAATAAGTTAATAACAATGAGGATACACTATGTAAGAATTACCTGATTAATTAGAGTTCAGTAAGTACTTGAAGGGATAACTCATACTTGCATAGTGAGGACTATCACTATGTGAGGATCACATAACACCACTAGCCATTGTCTTTTTTTCGGAATAAAGTCCATCCGAGTTAAGTTGTCATATTATTAATTCAAATTACATATTAATATCGTCAGTGTAATAATAAATCGTATAGTATAAAGAGTGGAATAACTAAAGTCTAAAGTCAATTTGGCTGGTAATGATGAGGAGGAAGAAATTCAATTTTGTGAAAAGACTAAAAAACAAAAGAGAATGAATCCGTGTTATCCTTATAGTGGAATACACTGTATTTTTTGTAATAAAGCTTAAATGGACCAAAAACAAAAGGAACAAGCACAAATTTGAGGTTGGTAAGACTATTATGAAACTTTAAGAAAAAAAAAAACAAAAAGAAAAAAAAAGAAGACATAACATAAAGCAATATTTGGTTATTTGATAATTGAGACATTTTTTTGTAACTTTTCCCACTTAGATTCTCACTAGAAGATTTCAACAATGTTTTTCCTTTTTTTTTTAAAAACTTTTTTTTTTGAAACTCGTGATGACAAAATTTTTTATTTTATAAAGGTTAGATATAAAGGGGAGATTAGGATCATCATCTACTCGACAAATTATTTGGCTTTAGAAGTTACAATATTTGGCAAAATCATCCAATTTAAGGGGTTTTAACATTTTAGTTAGTCATTTATCTTGCATAGTAACATTTGTATGAAACTCTTAATGAAACTCTTAATTAATAACAACAAAAATGTTATCACATATATTTAGGACATAATTAAGCTATCCTTAAGTATATTCATGACTACCTAAATTTTCATGTCAAATGGAGCATGTTTTTTCAGTTTCTTGTAATCACTTCTTATTAGTATATTCTGATTGACAGCATAAACTTGATGAAAGAGCAGCAACAATGTTGAAAGATCTTCAAAGAAAAGAACAAGAAACACATGAAATCTTGAAAGAACTTGAGTTAACCAAAAGACTTGTAGAAGAGCTAAAGTTGAAAGTGCCAAAAGATGAAACTCATGTTCAATGCACATCAAACTCATGCTCGGGTTTTGAAAGGCAAGTATCCACCCCGAATCACGAGTATGTGAACAAGTATCCTGTTGATTTCACTGAACAGCCAACAGTCAAGAATGAAGAGCAATTGAACTTGTTTCCATCAACTGCTGCTGGACTAATTATGATGGAATTAAAGCAAGCGAAAAACAATCTTTATCAGAACACCAATGATCTTGCTGAACTTCGCGCTTCTGTTGAGGCTCTCAGTAAGAAAATGGAGAAAGAAAAGGCCTCAGTGGTATTGCAAAATTCGCGTACTGTCAATGAAGCAAGACAGGAAATGAAGGTCAAGAATGAGGTGGATAATATGGGTGGATCATTTAATCCGTTAGCAATATCAAGAGAGCTACGAGAGTTGAATTATGAGGCCGAGCAATTTATGAAGACAGCTGAAGCAGCAAGATCAGAAGTTCTGAAGGCAATGTCAGATGTAGAGCAGACGAAAACAAGCCTTAAAGTGATAGAAATGAGGTGGGTTGTAGCCAAGAAACTCGAGGATGCTGCTAAGGCGGCTGAATCTCTTGCTTTAGCTGAGATCAGGGCTTTATCGAGCAATGAAAGCATATCATTTGATAGTTACAATAATCAGCAAGAGAGAATAAGTCTGTCAGTTGAAGAGTATTCTGCATTAACTGACAAGGCTCAAAAAGCTGAAAACCTGTTTAAAAGAAGGGAACAGATAGATGCCTTCAGAAGGATTGAAGAAGCATCTGAGGAGAGACTAAGTAAGATGGGATTCAGAAACTCTTTACCTGCACGCCCTCGAAGGGATTCTAGGCTACTCAATTCAAATGATTACGAGTATTCCAGAAATATAAATGATCAATGTAAGCAGGCTGCTAGGCCTGCTACGACTTCAATAGGAGACATTTTGAGCAGGAAACTTGTTCTGAGGGATGATTTAGAGGTTGGCAGGCAGGAAGAAAGTGTTGGTGAGGGCAGGGGAGGGGGCGGGGGAGGGAGGCAAAGGGTGTCATTGAATCAAATGTTGCGACGACATAGAGGTGAATCAACACCGCCTCCTAAGAGAAGAGAGAAAGATGGTAATGAAGGGAAGAATTTCTTCTCCAAGAGAAAGGCTCTTGGGTTTGTGCATATTTCACTTCCAATGTCTAAGCAGAGTAAAAATAAGATTCAGAGTTTGAATTTTTGGCGAGGGGATGATGAATAGATCAACATTATTGTTGTTGTATTTCTTGTTCTGAATGACATATTCTTTATCAGCTTGTGTTTGTACTGTGTTCCTTATTGGTTGTGTGGTGTTTGTTCATGCTACTTATATGCTTATGTATGTAAAGGGGTTGCTATATCTGATTTGTACTTGTATCTGGAGTGAAAATTGATATCAGCCTTGTGTTATTTATGCCTGTATAACCTTTGCTCGAGTCAAATGTCAGCTGTTTATTTTGTTAAGAATTAGCTGTGTTGCGTTTCAATATCTCATGATTAAAGATATGACATGATTTTATAATCCAAAGAAAACTTGAATACTCTTTTTAATCGCTCAATCGTTATTATTCTTCTTATGTCACTTAATTGAAGTGGTGACTATTGAATAATTTAAACATAACTGACCTTTGAAAAGGTATTATGAGTGAATCTTTTAAAAAAAATGCTCATTTTTTATGTAAAGAAATGAGAAAGTTCAAAATTTAAAAACAAAATTGTTGCAAAATTGAAATACAAATCAGATTCATCACCTCAAATTCAATAGCAATACACTAATATCAATAACTCTAAATTGATCATCTAAAAATGTGACAAAAAATACCGTTAAATATACTCCAGATTCATTATATTGATCAAATAAAAACTCACATTTATTGAAGATTTCACAAAGAGAAATATAAACGATTTTCCAAGACTAATAGAAACAAGTTACTTCCTCCGGTAATGGTTAATTGCAACAAAGGGGTATTATTTGTAAGATATAAAATATTCCTTTGTTGCAATTAACCATTAATGGAAGAACCGAAGAAGTATGATGTTTGAATGAATGCCAGACCAGCTAATAAATTGCATGTCCAAGCTATAAATTACTCCATTATAATTTCAGTCCAAAATGGTCCAGCTATAAAATTAAAACGGCCCAAAACCTAAAGTTAAATTTAAAACCCAAATATATACTGTTAGTAATTTACCCCATTCACCTGACCACACGTGCGCGCATAAAACCTACATGCTTTCCATTTCCATTTTTATTTCACGATTTTCCATGAAATAAGCATTTTTTATTTTTTATAATCACCCTTTTGGCGCATCTTTAAAACCCCTTTTGCCGGGAAATTTTAAAATTTTAAAATTGCCGGGGCTCCCTCAATTTTATTTGCCAGTCTTCAGTCTTGAGATATTTTAACTCTTTTAAAAACAAAATTAACCATTTCAATATTCATTGAATAAATAAAATAAATACAAACAATTCTCAAATCTCAACTCCATAACTTCTCTGTTTTACAGCTCCAATGCCAAACCCTCTTAGATCTCGCAAAAGGGTTCGCCCTCCTCGCCGCGCCGCCGACGGTAGCGCCTTCATGAATTGGTAATTGTGTTCCCTGAAGTCCTTTATTTTTTAAAAAAAATTTCTAATTTTTATTTTTTAAGTCATTTTTTGTGTTTATAATTTTTTATTTTTAAATTTTTAATTTTTGTAGTGATGATTGTGGAGGTTCAGTGCCAGTAGCATTGATGGACATGCATGAGTGCAATGTAAAGAAGAATGTGAAAAAGAAATTGAAAGAAAATCCCAAGCCTTTAATAATTCCCAAAACGAACAACATTTCTCAGCAACCCGGATCACCTTTTGTCTTCTTCATGTAATTACTAATTCTATTCGTCTCAATTTAGTTGTCACGTTACTAATTTAAGTTATGTTACAAACGCGACTATTAATTTCGGACGAATGGAGTACAGACTTAAATTTTAACTTTGGGTATTTTCAGGGAAAGTTATGCAAAATCTTGCAAGGGTCGACCCTTGATTGAGATTAATCGAGAAGCTTTTGAGAAATGGAAGAAGATGTCAACTAAGGTATAAGAAGTAATTAATAATGTGAATTTCTAAAAATGAAAATGTGATTATCAGATGATTTAGTGTTTTTAGTTAGTAATTGTATTGTGAAATATTAGGCTGTTAATTAAGATGTTTCCTAATTTGATTGTATAGGAGCAATGGCCGTATGTATGCGAGTCTCGAAAAGTGGAAAATGCTTATTTGAATGTCATACATCAAGAAGAAATTCAACTGTCTCAAGTAAGTTTTCTAAGCTATTGATTTGTGTATTAAGTAGAAGAACATGAGGCCTAATTAGGCGGCGAGCGAGAGTGGATTGTGGGTTTGAGGTTTGTGAGAAAGAGCATTTACAACATGATAGATAAGGAGGGTAGGATGATTCTTGGACTAAAGAGTAACATTTTTGTAGGACCTATTTTTGTATGAATTGTTGTAATGCAATGTATGGAAAATGAAGATTCTAGAGTATATTCTTTAAGCTAGATAATATGCTGTGTGTAATTTGAACCACAATTTGGCTGAAAGAAGAGCTTTTTGCTAGTGATGTCAAGTGAACCTTTCCATCTGAGGTAAAGATGGAGGCAATTGGTTTCACTAGTCGATAAAATCTTGTATGAGGCGTTCTAATGGTGAATAATTTAATTTTAAGTGTGACTGGTTACTTTTTTAGGCGATGTCTTTAAATGTCACATACTTTGTAATAAATAAGCGTGAGATGGTCTCACTCAAAACTCGTTCTTGTTCGTGTAAACTTATAAGAATTTAGCATAGATCTTTGGTCTCAATCAATGTTATTTTTCACGTTTATTGAGGTGAATATATGAAGACAGACTAAAATATGTACAAAATCTGATTCTTGTAATCTTCAAGTTGTCTGAGCCTGACATTCTGGCTTCTGTAACCTTCTGAAATCGTCGAATGTTTGTAACAGAAACATGAAAGCATTGAGTATAACAACTTAAAGAGAGTTTTAGCACCACTTAAGATTGCTGCGATTCATGATTCATCCTTACGTCCCTGAAACTTTTCTGCAGACTGAGTACTAATCTTAACAACAGTATATACTTTTCTGATTAAAAACATAATGATTTATGCAGGAAGGTGATGATGAAGCAGATTCAGCAAAATGCAATAAGGTATACAATTTTCTCTACTTAAACCACATAATTTTGAAGTACATCTGTTTCTGTTCTTACATCTTCTGTTCCCTTTGACATTAGCAGAATGGTGGCTATGTCAACTACGACGATTATTGCTCAGAAGACGAAGAAGAACCTTTTAACGTGTGGAGTTGCAAAAGGTGCCCTAATGCACTAAGTTGTTTCTGCTTCGACAATATATATTTCTAGATCAATGTAGGATCGGCTTATTCGAAATGAAGAGAAGCTTATGCTCTTTGTTATGGGGTGGCTAGCCTGCTTTCACCAAGGCAAGTCTTATTGGCTATTGTATATTCTAGGAAGTTATGTACAGGGTTTGCTGTTAATATGTTTCCCTGGCTTTTCATCTATGCTTTAGTACGAGTACTAATTAGTAATTAGTAGTAGTAATTGGGCCATTTTGTGGGTGGATTTTGCTACAAGCACTGTAAAGTTTTGCTAAGTACTCCATTTTGTACAAGAGAGTACTTTAGATTTTTATTAGTTGTGTGTTGGTGTTTATTGATTAGCAACACTGCCTTGTCATTTATTTCTCAACTTCGATTATAAAAGCATGCATTTTAATTTTTTGAGAGTAGAATAAGCCATATAGGGTAATGATGTAGATAGGATTTGATTTCAAATTTCGCACTCGAACCCCAAGACTTTACCAAATTGATTGACACTTGACATTCGCTGAAAACTAACATTATGCATATACATTGGCCAGCCTTTTCTTGTTAGTACAAATGGTTGCCAAAATTTATTGTAGTTTAGGATAAATAGAAAAACTTTTTTTTAGACACATTTAGTGGCTTGAACTTAAGGTTAAAATCTGATCCGAAATAGATCTGAAAAATTTTCTATTTAGATTTTTACTCACATGAACACAAAGATTTAGTATCACTCAAGTTTGAAATTAGACCTGATCCAACCCAGACATCCGAATCAACACCTCTAGCTCAAACATAATATTATTTTCATTAGGTATTTCTTTAGAAAGGTCTTTTAAAGTCATTTTGGTGTCTAGAGTCTATACTCTATAGACTACTCTATTTTAATCACTTGGTCCCAAATTGCATTACTTTGTGCTGACCTAACATTTTTATGGCATCTCCCACCAAAGGGAATGAAAAAGATTTAAACAAAAAGAGGGCCTGAAGTGAAGTAGTTACATCACACAAATTATATCATTACTACGAGAGCACAAAGAGCACCAATCACACTAAAATGAGGCATGTGAATGTTGATGTCCATTATATAAGTTAATTAATTGGCAATTTATAACACATCATGTCTCATAAATAAATATTTTTCTACTAATAGAGTATTACCACATGATAATAACACATAAGATGATATCAATTACACATTAAGTCAACCGGCAAAGTAGGTACACATAAAACATTCACACGCTGCTATAAATCATATTCAACATCTTCCGCCGATTGTCAGCCTGTTCAGCTGACCTCAGAGGCTTCCAGTCATCCGGAACAGCATGTTTCTTCTCGGCGGCGATTACAGTCTGTTCGAGAGCATAATACAAAGTACTCGAGATCATATGACTTGCAACACCGTCAACATAGTAGTTGGCTAGTTGCTAGGTTAGCCAATACTCCACAAGACCATACAAAAAAAAATGTAAATAGGTCCAATAATTATTACATTAGGTCCAAGATAGCCCAAGTTTTTTAATGACTCGTTAGTCCTCACCATATCCATTAAATAAAATCTTTATAGTAAAATAAAATTAAAATCCTGGAAAGGTCAAAAATTTGTTAAAAAAATAAAAATAAAAAAATAATAAACAACTTTAAACTCCAGAAATTGATAGAGTAGCTAAAAAAAATGGAGTGCTCCAATATTATCAGAGGTTCTGCTTTACTTCCCCAGAGACCCTCTTCTTCTGCTCTTTCTGACTCCCAATTTCTCACCAACTTCAAATTACCGGTAATATTATAACTATTATTTTATTTTATTTTTTTTAATTATTGCTTTTTTTTTTTCTATGATTTAATCTTCTTTAAATTGCTTAATTTCATTGTTGTTTTTGAAAAACAGAGATTAAGGCGTCAGAACCCAAATAAGCAGCGTCTGTTGATTAGAAACGCTTGTAATTTTGATCCTAATGAGCTCCCTTTTCTCCCAGGAAAATATTTTAAGGAAGAGGTATGCTTTTTTTTTTTTTTTTTTTTTTTTTTTTTTTGGTTTGATGTTAATATATTGGTTGAATGTTAAATTTTCAGTTAAATTTGAGAAATTAGTTTATAATTATAAGTGGGTTTTGATTGAATTTGGAAAATTTGACGTTTATTGAGTCTTTAGTGTAAAAAATCTCAAAAGGGGTTTCTGGGTTTATGAAATTTAATGTATTTTTTGCTATTTGATTGGGTTACTTTAATTATTTTTAAATTGTTTTATATTCCCGTGATTTGTAAGTATGTGTGCATATACTTCGTATGAATTATGTAATTTGTGTAAAATTGAAGCAATAATTTTGGATATTCAGGCTATTGGAGCTGAATATGGAGAGGGTTTTGAGACATTCAGGCCTGATGGACCCTTAAAAGTTGATGTGGTAAGAAAACACAATTTCTTCTTTAATATGTGTAATACTAAGTTTTTTTGTTCGTCGGTGAAACTCGATTTTGTCGAATTTTCTTTTCTATGGCATCATGTATTGCTCATGTTATTTCCATTGTTGTTAGGATTTTTTGAATGACAAGTTGCAAGAGGGATTTCTTCAAAGAATACGATATGCCATGAAACCCGATGAAGCTTTTGGACTTATTTTTTCTTGGGACAATGTTGTGGTATATTCCCTTTTCATTAGTTTGTTTTTTGTGTTAATCACTTTTGTTCACAAGTTATGCTTGCAAATCTTCCTTTATCCAACAAAAAGGCGGAATTTAGTTTAGGAACGAAAAATGTGATTGATATTTGCTTATTCTTGTGGAACATTTTATTTACCTGTGAAAGGAGATAAGATATGGCTAGAAAGCTTGCCTTGACAATTAACGCAGTGTAATATAGCTCCATACTCTCTTATTGTTTCGTATGAAGTTTTTTTTTTTTTTTTTAAATAGAAATTCTACTTTATTTTATTTATTTATTTATTTCATGCTCATCCCACCCTCTAAGCTATATTTTTTTGAAAAAGGATCTCATTGTTGTCTACTTTTGTACTTCCGAGATAATCTATTGCCTCTGAAACATTCTGTTGCCTTCTATATGTTCCAATTTAGGAAAAACTTTCTTGAAACATGTAGTGACCTAGTTGCTCTTAGACTTTCAGTTTCAAATAGATATCTGATAAATTTAATTTCAATTATAGCACTACCTATATGGCTATTCATCTTGGGATGAAGTTATGCGTAGTAGACTGCCGTACTGGGGAAGAGCAATGAAGGCAATGCACCAATGCATAATATGAAGTATACTGTTAGCATTAGCTTCAATAGAAAGGAAGTCAATTAATTACATGGAGAAATTATATATAAAGGGATCAGTGAGAGAAAATTCAGGAAGAATTTTATTGAGTGTTTCTGTTAATTTTTTGTTTACACTTTGGCAGAGAACTACCCTCTCAAATGCTTGTATTATCTAGTGCAGAGAAATTCCATATAAAGAGGAGATCAGTTAGAGAAAAATCAGGAAGAATTTGGTTGAGTGTTTCTGTTAATTTTGTCTTACACTTTGGGAGAGAACAAGCCTCTCAAATGCTTGTATTATCTACTCCGTAAAATCTTATCTCCTTTCTTCTTCCCACTTGATTTGCCCCTTTCTGCGATTTCATAACATTGTGGTTGATACAATTTCATATCACATTCTAACTTGATTCAATTTTTTTGCCAAACTAAAGTGTATTCATTATGTTACAGGCAGATACTCGAGCATTGAAGTTGAATGCTTGGAAACAGCTTGCCTCTGAAGAGGGTATGTATTATCTCATGTGACTAATCCTTACTTCAGTTACTTGTATGCTTGATGTTAATCTAGAATTTCTGAGGGCTGAATATTATACATGGTTAAAAAAAAAAAAAAAAATGCCTGATTTGTTTTAATACAATGTATATCTATGCTTCACCTATTATGGAGATTGATTCCATAGGAATTAAAAATATCATAATGTTATTTTTTATTCAATTAGTTATTGAAGAGTTTAAGTAGAGAAAGAAAATAGAGAAAGAAAATAGATTCTTTAAGTAGAGAAAGAAAATAAATTCTATCACTGATCTTACATTTATTTGGTGCTATTCTTATTGGTCTCTTTTTCTGTGTTTTTCTTCTTTGCAGGAAAGGTAATTCCCGAGGATGCTGGTACTCAAAAGCTGATGCTTTACTCAGGTCCTGATCATGTGCTTAATAAGGTCTGAGTCTCTGAGGTTTACAGTTGAAAATTTCTATATAAATGGTGATTATTATGCACTTATATGGAGCATGATATTGTTTATCAATTATCAAATGTCCAAAGATTATTAATTTCAAGTTAATTACTGAATAAGAAAAGCCAGTGACAAAGTTATGCTTATTTTTGTGGAACATTTTTTTCCCTTTGAAAGGAGATAGGATATGACCAGAAAACTTGCCTGACAATTAATTTCAAAATAAAGCTAATTAACTTGTTTATGAGTGAGTGGGTGACTAGTTCTGTCTTTTGACTTTTTGCAGACAGCATGTCAATCTTCTAGTTGACCTTGGAGGATCCTACTGGTTTTGTCATTGATTAATTGATATGTATAGACAGGCATTTCCATGTTCTGATTTTTGGGAATTGGAAAAAAAATACCTCCCTGAAAATTTAAAAGTTCCATTCTTTGAAACATCTCAAAACTGAGGTTGTCACAACATTTTGAAACACGAGTCTTCCTCATACACACATGCACGTCTCAGTCTCCTGTGGTGTTTTGTTTATGTACTCCTTTCAGTTCTTTGGCCTTTATTTAGTACTGCTTGATTGTTTTTTTTGTTGTGTATGACATATTAAATGCTTATTTTGCAACACTCTTTAAAGACAAGCTTAGACTAAAGGAAACTTAATTTTGTATAAAGATACTATCGTGCTGTCTTGTCAATGTTCAAACCACACTCGTGCCATTTGTTTACTTACCTGAGTTAGGAGGAGAAGATACAAGTTATTTCTATGTTTTTTTTGGAGAATGCTCAGAGTCCAACTGATGCATAAAACACTAACCTTCTCAAACCTTTCAGGTTTTACAGTGGGAGAAATCAGAAACTGATGTAGATTTGCTAAAGATGCGACTTTCACATTTGTATTATGAGAATCTTCTCAAGGTGAGGGTTTTTTTTTGAGGGGGAAGGGGGGGTGGTGAGGAGGAATTTTTCTCTAATCTAGATATTCATTTTTTTTTTACCATCTTCTCAGCTTGATAGACCTTTGGAAGGTGTTGAAGAATGGCTGGAGGCAGTGTCAACAGCTCGTATACCTTGTGCAATTGTTTCAAATCTTGACAGAAGAATCATGGTTGAAGCTCTAGATAGGATGGGAATCAAGAAATACTTTCAGGTACTTGGTTGATTTTGTTTGTGTCAGTGATTATTGTACTGTAATAATGAAAAGCAACAGTGTGGTGAGTGGTGATGGTTCTTAGTCTTCTTACTGTATTTTCTTCAACGAGAGGGGAGCACAGGGCAAGAAGAACGAGAAAAATGAAGGTAGTAGTGTTACTCATCCTTCCAAGTGAGGCCTGCTGGGATAAAGTTGAAATTTTGGGAGTGCGTATTGAACTTGTCCCAGTGATGAGTTGTATTTCTCTCATATAATATTCTGGACCTTCTGCCGTTGCGCTTGTTTATGGAAGTTGTCTTCCAACTGATCTATTTTCACCTTGCAGGCCATAGTGAGTGAAGAAGATGGCATGGAGGCAATGGCCCATAGATTTCTCTCTGCGGCTGTAAAGGTAGGAACTCTCTGTACAGAGGAACTCTGTTGAAATCCTGTCTGCTTTACTTTTTCAAATCTTGTTGATGACTGCAATTGAAATCTTGACCTTTATTGTGGTGAGGTTACCATACAATTACCTGGTTTTTCTCTACTTCTAGCTCATAGATACCCAGTCTACAGGACTGAATACAACTTATTTGCTCTCATTGAATGAATTATTTTATCTTTTGAGATTTTTCAACTTTTACTAGCACTTCCTTTCATAAGTAATTTTATGACAAGATACAAGTTTATGATTAGTTTAGCCAATTGCACAATGAAATTTCTTTTTCTGCAATTGCTATATATTCAGTGTCTGTTGATTCATCCTGCTAATAATTTTTCTTGCAGTTGGATAGGAAACCTTCGAAATGTGTCGTCTTTGAGGATGACCCAAGAGGTGTGACAGCTGCTCATAACTGTACGATGATGGCTGTAGCTCTTATTGGTGCTCACCCTGCGTAAGTATCATGAAAGATTCTATAGAACGTATACACTAAATTTGGTCAGAGTAGTAGTTCTATGATTATTCAGCTGTGGGTGTCTACTGTCTAGTCTTCAAATGAACATAAGTAATTGACACTTCTCGGCATTTTGCATAAATCTCCACTATGTATTAGTCATAAATTATTGATTTGGAGGCCATGCCGTTATGGACTACTATGTTACTTGGACTCCTCACATAAATCAGACTATGAGTATCTGAGTTACCATATCCCTTTAAAGTGGTAAATACGTGTCCAACACAGGCATGGGAAGGTTTATTGGAGAGTTGGAGTTAGATGTACTTGCTTGGAGAATGAATTCAGTGACTAACATTGGTGTTTGCAGGTATGACTTGGTGCAGGCTGATCTTGCAGTAGCCAACTTCAGTGAGCTCTCGGTCATAAATCTGCGGAGATTATTTGCACACAAGGGTTCGGATTTCATGGATTTACAGAAACAGATTATAGAGAAAAGTCCTCCAAAAAGGAAGCTTACTACTGATACCATTTTTTGAGAATTCACCTGTCTCATTCTGTTAAATCTTCTGTAGTCTTTTAAGAAGCATAGTCTCTTCCCATCCTTCTCTCATTCAAGTCTTGTATGTTGTAGAATGCATGTATATACTTTGTTGTTCAATGTACATTACAAGTTTTAGCAATGTAGTCTCGTTTAAATGCGATGTTCCATAATCTATTGTTCTGTTCTCGGCCAGCTTCAAAATTTGATACAAGAATTTAGCATTTTCTCGCTTGAGATCTGGTTTTAAATGAGGATTGGGGAAATCACTTCAAGCAGACTTGACAAGATAAAAAATTAAGGATTTTTAACACGATTCTTTGGCCTAAAACTCTGATTAACTAGCTAAATTTTTTATGACGAAGATTAACACGAAATCGATTCGATTTTAAAATTGACTTACCATAACCTACTAGCTGATCCATTTAGGGACAAAGTTTTCAAGTTTTAATTTTTCAGTGAAGGTTGAAATTTTATTTTGTCAATTTGTGGACATCTAGAATTAGTTAAGAGACTTTGAGTGGGGTTACTGATATGTGTTGTTTGTGTGATGGGGTGTAGGGTAGTTTGATAAAGAGTAATTGTGACATCCAATGAAAAACCTTGTAATTGGATAAGATGAGATTTGCTGTTAAGAATCATAGCATCATTATAGTACTAACATTGGCAGATCCAAGTTCTATTGCTTTTGTACCATTGAACTGAATTTATAGCTATGATAACACCAGATTTAACTCAAAATCTAAGATACAACAACTTTGATGCTCATTGTGAGAGAAATACAGTAACTTGCACCAATTTGTTACATACTTACATTAACTATTGCTCATTAAAGGAGAATAAATAACTTTAACCACGATAATTTCAATTTCAACATCCAATTATTTAAGACGTGGTTTAAGTATGAGATTCGTGCACATAAAAAATACTACTTTGTATGAGATTGTAATCTCAATAATTTTAACATTCAATTAATTAAGTCATAACCTTACAATATCAATGTTGATACTCAATTAATAAGGATTAAATGCTGAAAAACTTTGTGTTCGTAAATGGTACCGTATGGTTTGGTTTGGTCCGGTTTCAATACTAATATGGTGTGATTTGGTTTAAAAAATTGACCAAATTGTATTTTATGGTTTGGTTTGGTTTGGACTCAAACCGCACCAAACCAGACCCGTGTTCACTCCTACCCCCACGTGTTAGATTTCATAGCTAAACCCGACCCATATTTCTTAACGGGTCTGGATCTTCCACTTATGGATTCAAGCCAAAAAGCTTGATGTAACTATTCATTATCTATACCGATATGGTAACAATCCAGCTATTTGTTTTACCTTATCTTTCCGGATTGATTTTCCCTTCAAACCAACAAGAGGGAGATTTCCCAACATAATTGTGATGAACTGAAGCTTCACGCCCAGAAAAATTCTGGAATTTTATTGCTAAATTATTCATTCCAGAATTCTAAAATGTCGTGCATATATGGTGGCAGCTGTTCTGTATCTTCCTTCTCTGCTCATTCAATCTCCCAATCAAGACTTCAATCTTCATCAATTTCCAAACCCTCTTCGATTCAATGCTCTGCTGGAGGTAATTTCCTTAAATATCATGCTTCAATTGATTACATTTGATATAATTCAGGCAAATTTTTATATGGGTATTAATTTTTTGTTGTTAAATCGGAAATTTTGACTTTTTGGGATTTTGGGTGATTGTTGATTTCTCATTTGGGTTAATTATGCTTCCAAATTTCAGTAAAAGATCAATTTTTTTTTTCCTTTTGTGGATTTTAGAATCTGTGAGTTTGTATACGTAGTATTTACATTTGCTGAATTACGCTTCTAGTTTACAGTGGGTAATTTACTGAATTTTGGCATGATTTGGTTGTTCATTGTTTAGTGATATTGTATATATTTAGGTTTAGTGGATCTTTGTTGATGGACACTAGAGATAGATTCTTGGTTCGTGCAGCGGACTGTCATATTGAGATTAAGGCTTTGACATTATTGTTGTTGTCGTTGTTATTGTGCTGTTTAGGTTTGGTAGCCGAATCAAAGGGGGTAATTACAGCTGAACCCTTGTTGCTAAATGCTGTGAAAGGGTTGGATGTTGAAAGGCCCCCAGTTTGGTTGATGAGGCAAGCTGGGAGATACATGAAGGCAGGTTTATTACCATGCCTTTATTTTGTTGGATGTCTTTTTGTTTTATTGAATCTGGATCATCATCTTTCTTGTGCTGTCAAAATTCTTATTAGTTAGGTATCCAATTGTTTGGATCGCGGGAATGTAGCTACATCAGAGTTTAATGCCTGAAAATTTGTTTATATAGTTGTGCATATGCATTCGAAAGAAGTTATCATGGGATTCATGATTCCTAGCATCACAATCATATAATTTCGACATCTGAGTGTATTATAAATTTGACATCCTACTTGAGCAGATGATGCAAACCTCTAATAGTCTAATGCTGTCTTAAGTTTGTAATACTTGTAGGTAACATGTATACTACATAATGCTAACATGTCATTCATCTATAAACGACATGGTGTGAAAGTTAAGAGGAATAGATATTGATTTAAGTTAGTGATGTCAGCGATGTAAAATTGATAAGGTGTAACAGATAGGTAGGAGAAGCCACTAATTTTGATATCTTTTTAGTGATCTCAAGCATGATAAGATCCACCTCTTAGGAAGGTCAATGGCAGTTGAGCCTTCAGTTAGGAGTAGGAAACTGTAAAAAATATGGTGGCTTCAGATCATTGTTTTCTGTATAATCCTCAATTGAAAAAATGTCTTACTGCTGTAAAATATACTCCGTAAATAAAATATGGATTTCAGGCAAATATACTGACATTGTGATTGCTTTGGGTTATGTAGTACTTTGTATATCACTGTCATGTGTCAACCATGTCATTAAAAACTAGGTTTTTTCTTCCAACTCTTCAATTTTGGCTGTTCTCTTCACCCTTTTTTTACTGAACAAAAAGTTCTAGGCTATGTTCCTCATAAGTGGTTTTAGGCTCTTCTGGAAAGTAATATCTTGTTATTTAAAATTGTATACTAGGGGCCTGTTCTCTTCAGCTTATTTTCACTTCAATTCAGTTCCTAATTTTCTTCTCTCATAAAATATTCAATTCAGCTCAGCTTAGCTCAGCTCAGCTCAGTAAATCACAACAGGCCCTAGGTAATTTAAAGGTTGTATGGCCTAAAAAGAACTATCATCAGAAGAGAATCTATTTACTAGGATTGAATTATGTTTTCTTAAGCTCCTCATGCTATGTGATTTGGACTGTTTTGCTGAATAATCTGATGTATAATTAATATATGACCAGTTTTCTTATTTTGTGTTTTCAGAGCTACCAAGCTATATGTGAGAAGCATCCTTCATTTCGTGAAAGATCAGAAAATGTTGATCTAGTTGTAGAAATATCCTTGCAACCATGGAAAGTTTTCAAGCCTGATGGAGTAAGTTCCTGCTAATATTAGTGTCCAACTTCTACAGACAGACATCTCTGCCACTTTCTAAGACCTTTGTCTGGACAGTATGTACCTGATGTGCTTTTGCTTGTATACTGAATTACTGATGACTATTGTTCTGTGTTGGCAGGTTATATTGTTTTCAGACATTTTGACCCCACTAGCAGGAATGAATATACCTTTTGACATTGTGAAAGGAAAGGGTCCAGTCATATTCGATCCTCTTAGCACTCAGCAAGATGTTGATGTAGTTAGAGAGTTTATTCCTGAGGAGTCAGTTCCGTATGTTGGGGAAGCCTTAACCATCTTGCGGAAGGAGGTATTGCATGTTCCTCACTGCTCCTATGTTCATTATATAGTTAATCGCATATCATTTACGCTCTAACCATAAGCATTGTAGTCTAGTACTCTAGTAAACCCTTCGTATGGGCTAATGGGCATATGGCAACTCATGATGATATAACCTTTTTGTAGACACAAGGAAGCCAAAATATTTAGAATATTGTCTGTAATTTTGCGGATGGAACTGCTGTGAAATGAGTAGCATACATGCTTTTTTGTATTTTCTTTGAGCATTAGGGAAGGGGCTTTAGCTGCCTTTAGTCATATAAAAGGTATGTTGTAGTTATTGTCCTCTGCTCCTCTCTAAGATGTCCCATTTTCCGTTTGGCAGTTTTAACTATCTTTCATTAAACTTGTAAGTGCAAATTGTATGCTAGTGTCAGACTCCTGGCATCTATCTCCTTTGTTTGTGAGTGCACCTTTGGCTGTCAACGATGTGATACTATAGTGCCATACTCTGTCCCATCTATACTCATCATCATTGCTTTCTGTTTGGAAATCACTCACTATGATACCTTAATTTGAACTATCAATATCCGGACAGAGTAGTACTTAGTAGTAAACCTTTATGGACAACGTACCTCTCTCGATCTCTTCACAGTTCACATCTCTGATCAACTCCACCCTCCTGGCAGCTGAGATTCAGAAACCATTATGGCTTGGATGTAGTTGTGAAATTGTGAATCAAGCAAAATGAAACATGTATTGACTATTGACCTCATTGAGCAAGCTGCATTTTCTAGCCCATTGAATGAAGGGAATAGTTAGTAGTGGGCAAATAGGCTAGAGATTCAGGAAGCTAAATTGAAGTCACAATTAATTTCTGACTTAGTGATTTTCTTTTTAAGTATCGGCAGACTTGTTGAACGAATGTTTTGTTTTGAATAAATGTGACGTAACTTGGCATTCTAATTACACGCCATCAATATGTATCTACCATTTTCAGCATATTTATTTGTAAGTGCTCTTCCTCAGGTGGGCAACGAGGCTGCTGTTCTCGGCTTTGTTGGGGCTCCTTTTACTCTGGCATCGTATTGTGTTGAAGGTGGTTCATCAAAACACTTCAGCAAAATTAAGAGACTGGCTTTTTCTCAGCCTAAGGTAATATGCTTTCCAAATTAGCTTGCTGTTTAAGTGTGCAGGAGGCATAAAATCTCTGTTTTGCCTGACCATTAAATGTTGCTGCTATAGGTTTTGCATGCTCTCCTTCAAAAGTTTGCAACATCTATGGCAAAGTATGTCAAGTATCAAGCTGATCATGGTGCACAAGCTGTTCAGATCTTTGATTCTTGGGCAACTGAACTCAGCCCAGTAGACTTTGAAGAGTTCAGTTTACCATACTTGAAGCAGATAGTT